CTCAACTCTCCAGCGGCAGCCATTGTTGTGGTCACCCAAGTGCGCTTTGGTGACGTGGTTGATTACGTTACTGTTGATCATCTGTCGTATAAAGCCCGCCCTGACAATTTGATTGGCCCGCCAGATATTGTGCGAGCATACTCGCGCTACTGTTGAGCAATGCCAGACCGAACTTCCCGACCTCAAACTTTGTGGGCGGGACTAAGTTCGGAATGGCACCCAGGCTATCTGTACATGGGTGGAGCACGCAAACTGCTGCTCCACCTGCACGCACAGGGAAGTCATATTAAAATGTCAAATCATTCTGTCTTAAACATGTATATAAATGTACTCTTTATCAGACGATGTTGTCCCAAAAGTTAGAAAATTTCTATTTAAAAAAAAATTCTGTCTTAAAATCTGTGTTGTTGTTTTTTTTCGTTATTTTATGGAGGCCAGTTATTTATACGTCAGCTTGTACACCTAAATTCGGCCAATCATATAGCAACGGTCATCTGTCAATCAAACTTTTCCAGTCATAGCATCTTGATTAATATGGCACAGCTAATATACGCAACGGTTGAAATAAGAAATAAAAATTCTTTACTTTACCATTGAGTTAGCTCCCAGCGTTCAACCAGTCATCGGGGCCAGCTTATTCAAGCCTTTGGTGGGAGTCTTCTAGCTAATCTAAATTCTTCAGATTGCCTGATCCTGACCCGTTCTGCCTCTGGACCTCTGAGCCTTTCTGAGTTCTTATCTGTTTGCCTGACCTGTCTTTGGTCTCCTGCTGGATTCTGCCTGTTTACAGAACCTGGAACTGATTCCTGACACCATCCTGGATTTCCCATGTGCACCTCTTTGCATCTCTGATCTCCTGGTTCTGACCACCGTGCACGCCTTCAACAATGGTTTTGGCTTCGCCCTCAGGATTATCCTGCCTTCTTTCATCTGCTTGGTTCTGATCTCCTGCCTGGCCTCCAGGACTTCAGCATCTGGGACTTTCTGGGCAGTGTCTGCTACGTCTTGTCGGCAGTCGACCAGCTGGAACCAACTGGGCACGCACTGAACTTTAAGACCAGAGGTTCTTACCTTAGTCTCTACCCTATCTTGCCTTCTCTGTTCACTTCAGATCTGTTTTCTTAATAAACGCTTTTGAGAAATCTGTCTATTTGTTACAAAAACTGGGTCCTCTGTTCTGAGCCTTGACAGTACCACAAAGTGCATATGTTCCCAAATTCTTTTGGTTTTTTTTTTGTTAAAAAAAAAAAAACAGCACAATGGCCATGAAACCCCCAAGACAGGAGTTGGATGTTTGTGAATGGGAAGATTGTGTTTATGCAACGTATTCCAAGAAGAAAAACCTGTTAGCAAGTGCAAAAGACTTGATACTGAAGGGAGGTTCAGCATTCAGTAGGTAAACAACACTGAACAGAAATCAAAATCTATAATGGCAAGATTTAGATCAAAGCACATTAATGTGTTAGAGTGCCCCAGTCAAAGTTCAGACCTTAATCAAAAATTGATTAAGGTCAGTTTTTAAGCTTAAGACAAAAATTTGTGGCAAGAGTTAAAAACTGAGGTTCACAGAAACACAGAGAGCTGTTTACTCACGCTGTCTCTCCAATCTGACCAGGACTGAGTTATGATGAAGAAAGAGAAATGGGTAAATAAATTAAACCCTGAGATGTGTAGAGCTGGTAGAGACATACAGTCAAACCAAGATGTTAAATACACACTTTGGAGTTATTTGCAAAACAATTAAATTAAAATTTTTCTTTTTATTTCTCTTTACGGTTATGTTCTCTGTTGGTGTAACGAGACAAAGTATGGAAGAATTGAAAACACCTGAATACTTTTCCAAAGCATTGTATTATGTCCATTTGTTGCCTAGAGTGAGCTAAAGCTGCAGTTAGGGAAAATGAGCGGGTTCCACTGATGTTGCCATGATAAAATGATGACGGTAATAATGCTCACAATGCTGCTGATGAAAGCAAGCTGGTGATTCACCATATCCTCTCTGAAATAGAAACACTCCGTGTATATCTGCTCCGTGTCCATGGTGATGACTGTTAAAGTATGACATCAGAAGCCTTTTAAAAATGTCTGTCTGTCCTTCCAGTTGGTGTGTTCACCTGACTGCAGCACACAACAACCTGAACCTAGAAAAAAAAAAAAAAAAACTGAGTGGGGTCTTGGAAAGAGGGCAAACCCCTGAAGTCGGGTTAATCGGAAACAGGAAAGGAACTGGGGTAGACTTTCACTTGCCTGAAGCCCTGTCAGATTTTGTCGGTACATGGCTGTATGTGGGCCATCTCTGGCACAGCTTGACTGAGAAAACCAGGCTACGACACGCAGACAGCAACCTGAGCAACAGCCAGAATCTAGGTTAAACGTAAGGTTATGTAACCTAGACTAAAAGCCCACTTGTGGCTTGCTCACGCTGTAGATAGGAATTTAGGCACAGGATATATCTATGTTTGTCAGTGTTAAGAAAAAGAAGAACAGAAGTGACATAATTAACAAAAATTTTAAGAAATTCGTTTCACTGTTGCACCAATAAGCAAAAATGAATAAATAAATCACTGTATATCTGCCTTTGTAATGTAATGTTTTAGTTTTCCACCATGTTTTTGTTCACTTTGTGCTGTTAGAGTGCAGACTAAAAAAAGATCCGCCCCCTCCTGACACATTTGGACACATCAAGACACAGTTTGACAGCCTGCATGGGCAACAGGAAACTCCAACTGTATTGCACAGATGTATTTTTCTGGCCCAGGCAGTGCAATTGTACTATAAATAGCCTCAAAGCCTCACAGAATACTTTGATCATGTGCTATAGTAAGTCACACACCGAGGCACACGCTGTGGATTAGCTTCGGTGTTGCTAAAGGTTTGATTTTAGCTGCACGTTGTTAACTGTTTGTGCTTTTTTGACGGTATTAATCCTCCCTCAGTCTCCCTGGTATTTACTCCTCATGCGGGTCACTGACAGAGAAGCAATGAGAGTGCACTGCACTGTAGTGACCCCATCTAAAGTGGGTCGCTTTCGTCTAACACACTTACATGCAGAGCTGAAGTCAGCAGGCTATCTGTCTATCCTCCTGGCCAGAATGTTTGGATTTAAAGATACTCGGGCATTAAGGTATTTTTTTTTTTTCATTCAACCGGTCTAAGTGAGGCGTATCAACGTTGGGGTCAAAGCACAGGCTCATTTGGTATTTTAGTTTTTTTTTCCTTTATCTGTCTGTCCATCAGTTAATCTGATTAACTCTGTGTTGCTCTTCTTGGATCCTCCACTTCATCTTTCTTTCTGCCAATGATTATCTTTAAAAGCAGAGGCACCGGAATGTTAATCCTTTAATTTTTTATTTTTTTTTTTGCCTTACTGGTTCTTCTTGCACAGAAATATCTCCCTTTGCATTGAAATTGCATAAATAAACATCATTCATGTATTTTACTAAACTTAACGTGAAAGTGGGAAAATAGGACATATTTTAGTAAAAGAGTTTGCAGGTTTTACCCTGACAGCCATAATTGTGATTTCCATCTACAGCTCCTCTTCAATGGAAGGAGGCTTCCTGGAGCTCCTGGAACACCAGCATTAGAGGAGTCATGTTTCAATAAAGTAACACCGGAACCAGAGAGAGAGAGTGTAACCAAAACTAGTGCTTAATCACCATTTTAATGACAGGTTTGGAGGACTTTGTACATATGCCCATCTAATATCGGTGAATGGGAAATTAACTGAGCCTTATTTACCACTTCCCCACACATTTGCTGAGTTCCCTGCGTGGCTTGTAATAAACTTTTAAATAAGACCTCCTGTGGCTCTCTTTTAACAATAGCTGTATTCTTACCTTTCCTCTATAAAGACCAGATTTAATGAGCACACAACTGAAAAAAAAGAAAGAAAAAAAAAAGAGTCCAGCCTGTGGACTTCTGTGCAACTTTTCTAGAGGGATCATGTGCCTCTTGACTGTGTCTCTAATCAATGATCTTCTTGGCTGTCTCTTTTTTTTTTTTTTTTTTTTTTTGCTGACTCTGTCAAACTCGGTTTTTAAAGATAGAGCAATAATGTTCAAAGCTTCTTTATACTATTTTTAAATGTATTTTTTTTTTTAAATATTCAAGGCTTAAAAAATGATTTTTCACAAAGGGCAATGGCTGCAGTAGTAAAATGATGGACAGCAAATTCTGTATATTCTTAAAGGTGGATTCACACCAATGTCTGCTGGTTTAATGTATTTAGGTATTAAAAAAAAACTGTTTTTTTAGCTTTATTTTTCAATAAAGTGCTGCTATGCAAATTTTATAAAGATAAATAGTGGTTTTGGTGTCCAGTTTTAGGCCACCCCTTTTTTGAAAGGTTAAAAAACAAAGGGTAGAAAAGCTCCCTTTTGAACAGAACTGATTAAGTCTCCTACCAGTTTTTAATCTTAAATAATGTTTTAATGCAAATAAGATGAGAAAACATTTAATACATATTCAGAATAGGTGAATATTGGGCAGGTTTTCCAGTAAAGTCCTTGAGGGTTAAAGGTTCTTTAGTTTACGATATTGTCTTCCGACTCGTGCTAAACAGCTCCAGTGTGAACACAGCAGACAGGAATCTGTGGGCAGCACCGAGTCATGAGTGTCTACAGCCTCTGCGTTTGTCACAGCCTGCGTCAGAGAAGACACACAGGAGAACATGTCCCAAACAAGAGAATAGCCTCCACTTTACTTCCGGTTACGTTTTAGGTTCGGTTACTGTAAATGTAATTGTATGGAGTGCAAAGCTTTTTTTATACTTTATCCGGTGTTAAAGACTGAATTGATATTCATTTGATTAAACATTTACGAGGTCTATCAATATTTTACAGTAGGACACAATCACGGTGATAAAGAGGTGGCTGCTGTTGCTTTTAGCGTAGCTAGCGACCTCCGACCGTTGTGCGCAGGCGCGAGATTCCCGTTGTTGTCAGGGCTGTTAACCATCTTGATCCAGCCCGTGTCTTTGGCAGCTCCCAGTCTGTCCTCTCATATTCACACTAGTACTACTGTGCAGCTTCACATAAACAGAACAAAATGCTCAGCTGGTCGGACGGCAGCCGGGAGCCATAACTTCATGACCCTCCGAGACCCGCTTTAATAGCATGCTGTCCTTTACTTTTTGGTGAGTAACCACCAAAAAATATACTTCTTTTGTTTTTTTCTGTTTTTATTAGTAATAAACCACAGTTACCTAATCGATGTAATTATATATATATATATTTATAGCAGCTAAAATCAGTATAGCTTCTGATTAATTAATGAGCAATTATTGGTATTTGTATTGTTTCTCTAATTAAAATAAAGGCATGAACTTTAACGAAACTTAAAGTGGTGCCTTTTTTGGAAATGTGCCCAGCTTTAAAGGGAAACTGTGGCACAGCAGTGTTTAAGTGGCGAACAGAAAGTGGGGAACACTGTTGTCATTGTAGCTGACATGAACATGTGTGTGTGTGTGGGTGTGTGTGTGTGTGTCTGTTCCCCTCTGCGGAAAGGTCAGGAGGTCAGCTGCCTAATGACTGTTATTATGCCAAACAGGAAGCGACCCCTGCTCCCCCCCACTGTGACATGCGCGCAACATTCCTGCAGGCATGACAGAGAAGGAGTGGGATTTTTTTCCCCCTCTTCCTTTCTGTAATGTAACAGGGTTATGTCGCCTGAATATGAATTTACTGACAGTCGATCTTCTGGTTCGCGTGAACGCGCATGTGCGCGGCGCGCTTCTGCTGCTTTGAACCTTTAAATTATTGATGCGGTCTCAGTGGATACCTAGATGTGCTGCGAGTCTTTCTACTCTGTCAGATATGTAATAAATGGGATGGATCTGGGACAGGGGGCTGTCCTTACACTCGCACTGTGCCGCAGTATTAATTAGAAATACTGACATATGTCTTTTGTTAAGGCTGTATAGGTTTAAAAAAAAGGAAGAAAAAAAAGAATAAATAAACGCACACACATCTGTCTTATTCCCCAAGAAGCTGACTGAGCTGTGTCTTGTTTCATCTCTCCTTTTTTTTTTTCTAACAGTGAATCCAGTATGTTGTCTTCTGTTAAAACACACAAGACAGCCTTATTTGTCCATGTCAAGTCCTTGTGGCGGGCAATCAGCACATCTTGCTTGTTGTGTATTTTTGCAGGACAATGGGTATTAGTGCTTAGGTACAGGTTACAGAGGCGTATTCAGAACATTTATTATAAGGGTAGTCAGGCAATAACCAATTAACACTGAGGGGGGGCCAAAAGCAGATAGGCGCCAGAACCTCAGGGTCAATCTACACTGTTCCAACAGGAAAATTAACCAGCAAAACATCCATATTCTCTAAATAAAGACAAACTATACTTTCCTACAGCCTTTGCTAACAAATAGACGCATATATTTAAACATCCATGCTTTCTAAATGAAAGGTATAGTGGATCGAATTCTTTCAGTTTTGAGATCTGGGGTGTAAATCTTTTCCATCATCATTACTTACCCACTTGTATCAATAAAAATTCTGCATAAAATTGATATTTACAAGCACTAACGTCTACATAAATTGATTATTTGATAAGTTCTTATTAAAATTGTTATTTATCTATGATTTTACTGAAGACTCCCAGATGATTTGCAGAGACACATATTTTTCTTTTTTTTTTACCTCATATAACACAAAATCTAGTTATCAAAAGAGCATGAATTCTATACTTATCATCTTTGATGTTAGTATATTGATGTGTATAATTAACAACAGAAAATTAAAATGTTTTGAATCTTCCACTTGAGAGTATTACTTTTTGCCAGCATTTGTATTAAAGGGGGAAAAATTGTAGGGGTGGCCAATGATTGGCTAAGGGTGGCTATGGCCACCCCTGGCCCCCCTATCTAGCTCCGCCCCTGACAGGTTTTGCCATACTTTCCTTTATGTTAAGTACATTTTAGCTTGTTTGTAGAAGGTATGCTTCCTTATCAAAGACGCAGAAATCAGCAAGTAGTTTCCTGTTGATTTCATGTAGTAGAACTGGAACTGCCGCAGTTTTCAACCAGAAGCATATATAATGCACAAATGAATATTGGCCAAGAAAAGCCAGATCAGTGCCTCTCTAGTCATATTAGTTAGTTTTGTTCTGTTTTTTAATCATTTTTGAATGATGTGTCATAGTAATAAGCATGTTGTAAAAAATTAACAGCTTTGGATCACAGTTTTTTTTTCTATCTTGATATGTAGATTTTTTTTTAAAAACTGGTTAAAATGAAAAGATAAATGAAGTTAGAAAAGCAGTTTGTCTACGAGTTTGTTTCCGCATCAATCATGACTTTCACCGTGGGAAAACGTTCATTGTCTCCCGACAGCCGTCTCTATCGGCATTCTCTTCGACTCAGCCTCCCTGCTAAGATCCGTTTCCCTCAAAGTGCTCCTGTTTAGATTCATTTTTCCATGTTCGTATCCAAAAATAGCAGCCACTTGATCCACCACACGCCCAGTCCCAGAGCCTACAACCACTGAACCGTGCGTTTCCATGTATTCTTCACCAAAAAACTTAAGGAATCACTGGAATGTTAATTACTCCTCAGGGCAAAAAAGAAAAGAGATCTGTGAAGTGGCTTTTTTTGCCGCTAGGTCTCTTAAGTGCTTGGCTTGTGGTAACTGAGAGTATTATTTTTATAAGCACTAGTTTGTAGGTAAATCACTCTCAAAATGGAATTAGCCTAAACAAACTTGTGGCTGGAAACCGGCTAGACCAGGAAGTGCTTCTCATTTCTGAAGTTGTGACTTGCACAAAAAGTGCCAGGCACATTCAGCGTCTCACACTGACTTTTGATTAATTATTAGAAATAATTACAGTATGATTACTTATAGTAGAAAAAAAAGGTTTAACATGATCCAACTGCTTTTAGTCCAAATAGAAAGGCATCAATTATTTTTGCTCCTACAACATTTGGTTTTTATGATTTGAAGTTGCGATAATGTTCTGAATAATATACATAACATTTGTTATTTATCTCTGACAAATAAAGCTAAGCAAAACTATAAAATAAAGACCTACCTTTTTAAAATCTAGTATTAATTTATGTTTATTGCAAAAAAGCATTATGAATATTGACCATTTCTGTTTTTAAACGCAGTTTAAAAACAGAAATCCTCCTTTAGTCCTTTGATTTGAGTCACACTTTAGTGAACAAAAAAATGTTTTGTAACAGTTTACCCTTGAAATATAATATATTACATGACAATAATTTTACAAACTAACATAAACAGCAAATATTTACTGCATTTCTGAGAATTATTATTAAAAATGGTCAGCTTAATTAATTTATTAATTAATGTGAAAAAAGGTGAGTTTTATTTTTCATCCAATAAATGAAAAAGATTCTTTTTTTTAGGTTGGATTTTCAATGCAGATCTTTGAATGAATGTCATATGGTTTAAATCCAGTGTGCAGCAACATGTGGCATGGAATCAGTGGTGTGTTATCTAGCGGACCGTATAGCTGAAGAGAAAACTTTGTTTGGCATTATTAGGACTTTGAAAAGTGGGAACACGATGAAGAGAGGGAAAGAAGCTCTGCTTGGTTCTAGAATCAACCTTCCATTTAATTCAGGAAGACATTTATCAACAAAGAGTGGTCGTAATTGAAAACCGTGTTCTTGTCTCTTCTGTGTTCATGCAGAATATATAGGAACCTCCAAAGCCAAACAATGAGAGACATCCTTAAGAGGAAGTTTGCAGAGGTAGAGGAAAACCCCTGCTATTCCCCCTCCTCCTCCTCGTCCTCCTCTTCTTCTTCTCCATCTTCCCTCTCCTCTCCCGCCTCCTCGGAATGGGAATCCGACGGGGAGGGGAGCTCATCAGAGCTCCAAGATTTCACACCTCACAGTCCTGCCTCAGCCTCCAGCTTACCCAGTAAGTTTGCACCCCTCCTTTTTTTCTTTCAAATAATGCAAACCTTTCTCTCTTATCAGTCTGTTTTCACATCAGCATTTTATAGGAGTGTCTCTTATCAACCTGCAGCAGAAGTTATGACTGAGTGATATGAAAACGTTAGCCCTGAACCCAATTCAGATAAGACATACAGAGAGGGACCAGCCTTTGCAGAGCTGGTCCGTGGGTGTAGATCATTTGCTTGAGCAATAGGAAGTAGTGGGATCAATTTGAATAGCACGGTCACTTTAAACCAGTCACATAAAATGGCTTTATTTAGAAACGAAGCTGCTCCTGCCATCACTCATCAGCTGCATCATTTATCCTGATAACTGTCAAACAAGAGGTTGAACTAATGAGGAATACATAGGAGAGAGATGTGAAAGAATACAAAAAAATATATACATATAAATAAATTGATTGCTTTTAATGTGGAACGAATTACTAGAATAGAAAAAAAAATAATATAAAGGTTCCTCAGAACAAGTAAAACTTAACTACTTCCCTCTGCACAGAGCTCAAAAAGTAAATAATCAGTTCAACTGCAAGAGGTGAACTCGAGTTCTTAGAGAAAGAAATACAACAAAAAATAAAGAGAGAGTGTGACAAGAAGAAAGAGATATTCTTCTTAGATCTAAATCCATCATATCCCGATTAAATCCAGGCTGGACGAAAAACACAGGAGAGCTCGACTCAGTGTGGACACTGCAGTAGAAAAAGAAAAAAGGGGAACAAATAGAGATGTTTCTAAAAAGGTTACAGTGATCTCTTCCTTAGGACAAACACTGCCTTTACAGCACAGTCAGGGATTAACAGATTTAGACTGGATGTGTTTAGATAAACAGAGCAGATGACCCTAACTGCTTTCCCCCGGTTGTTCTTCTTATGTTCAAAGATAAGGTTGCTGCTGATGACAAACATGATCCTGACAGCGGACTATGTCTTTATTACTTTCCAGAAAATATAAAAAAAAATAAGACTGTCTCCTTTTTGCAGTTGCTTGCTTGATTTTTTTGCACAATTTCCTTCCCTGTTGTGTGTCAACTATTGACCCCAAGAACTAGAGCCAAGTCGGTATTGTGCCCTCTAGTGGTCACTCTGAAACTTGCAAAGGCATTCAAATTTTGTCCCCTTTTAACCAGTCCTGTGGGACTTAAAAACCAGGACATACATGGCTTTTTGTTACAGATAAGCATTTATCATTCAATCAATTAGCATTTATAGAACACTTTCCTCACACAGCAAGTGTGAAGCCTAACTGATTAATGTAGAATAGAGTAAAACTGTAAGGCAACAAAATACCTAAATTCAACTAAAACAAGAGAAAGAATGAGCTAAAAGCTTTGAGGAGAGAGATGCGGTTTGACTGACTGAGGAAAAGCAGTTTAATTAATGATAATATGATGCAAAAGGTGGATATAAGAGGTCTTTTTGAAGCTTTCATTCTGAAATCCTGATAATGAGATCCTGATCAGTGATAAAATAAGTGTTATTTACTTTCACTTATCCTCTGACCATAACGCCTCCCCATGACGCCGTCACCGCTGTATTTATAACCCCACATGGCGTTTTGTATGTAGCTCCATTTCAGTCTCATCTGGACATTTATCCTTCCTCCAGGCGTTTGCTGTGTCCCTTCCCAAAGTGCACATGGACCCTTTTTTAAACATTTAGTCTTTCTCAAAGCAGTGATCTTCTTGCATCTTAAATTGACTGATCAGACTCAGTTCTCCCTTTATGTTTCCCTGATTGGTTCTTTTCATTCTTGACCTTTTTTATTATAGGCAGGAAGCTACCCATGCCTTGGTAGATTTCGAAGCAGAAAAGTGACCTGAACCCTAATTTGAGATTTTCATTTTATTTATTTTTTTGGAGAGGTATCAGAATAAAAAAAAACTTTTCTGATTTTTGGAAAGAAATATTGAAAATCATTCTTGACATTCCTTAAACTTTGCAATTCTGTTACTTTGTGCCTATGTGTCACATAAAATCTGTTTATGTGAACACAAAGTTTGTTGTTTCAAGGTTAGAAAATAAATGATGTTATATTTTTGATTCTACATGCCTGTATTAGAAAGTCAGGTATTTTCATTGCTTTATTAAAGGTCTTTTTTTTCCCTTCTTTTTATTCAACCAGTTTGGTCTATCCTGAAGAAGCCAAAGCTCTCAAAAAGACCAAGCAGGGTGCAATTCGACCAGGTGACAGTGTTCAGCTTTCCCCGCTGTCAGGGTTTCACCAGCGTGCCCAGCCGAGGAGGTGCCACTCTAGGCATGGTGCGGAAACACAGCGCTCTGCGAAGGTACACTGTGGACGAGCACGCACTAGAGCAGCGTAGCAGACGCAAAGAGAGGCACAGGGAAAAACTGAGGCAAGAGAGGTTGGAGGCATTAAAAAGCAAGGTAAGCGCTTTTCATCTCCTCAACTTTTCAATTCTGCAAAACCATCTCCTAACTAGAGGTGCTGTTTTGTTAATTCCAGCTGGTCACGAGTGGAGCTGTTGACCATAATGAAGCGGAGAAGCTGATGATGGATCAAGCTCTGAATGAAGACCTCGACATCCATATTAGTGAGTCTGATTTGGAGGATGGAGGCTTCTTTCAGCCGTTCTCTTCTAGACAGCGTCAGGCTCTGCTCCTGGCAGCAGGGGTGAAAACCATTGACAAGGAGGAGAAGAGGCAGCTTCACACTCTGCGGCTCTCCAGACAGGCCTGTGGCTGTGACTGCAAGGGCTTCTGTGAGCCGGAGACCTGCGCCTGCAGTCAGGCAGGCATCAAGTGCCAGGTACAACACAGAGTCACTAATGTCATGATTCCTTTAAGAGCTACAACAAAATAAATAAATATTTTCTTCTATAATTTGTTTTGATCGCAGGTGGACCGCTTCAACTTCCCCTGTGGATGCTCCAAGGACAGCTGTGCAAACATTCAGGGGCGCGTCGAGTTCGACGCCAGGCGGGTTCAGACTCATTACATCCATACAGTTATGAGACTCGAGCTGCAGAGGCGACTGAAATGTGAGGCGCTCATCTCTGGGGAGCAGGGAGGACTCTCAGAGGAGCCTCAAGACTTTAAAGAACACAAAGAGGTCCGTGCAGATCAGAGGGAGGAAGAGAACATGTGTCCGTTCAGGTCTGGCTTAGAGGAGGATCAGCTTCCTTTCACCATGCCTGCTGCTCCTCCATTCCACTGCCTCCAAGAGCGGCTGATCGTTGAGGAAAACAGCTGCAGCAGCGACATGTCCGAGTCCTCTCTGTCCTCTTCGGAATGTGACACAGGAGGATTCTTCAGCGGGGCTCAGACTCCTCCTGATGGAGGTTCCACCTGCAACTCCAGCAATAAAAACTTTTACTCATGCAGCCAGATCAGGAGCATGATGGAACCACCGATCCAGCACGGCTGCAGCTCTGCAGCTACCGCCAACCAGAGGCCACTTTCTCCCATCACCCTTTCAGACAACATGGACCCCAGCAGGAACCATCTTGATGAGAATGCAAATCAATCCAGAGATTTTTTCAATGAAGACTCTTTGGAGGACTTCCCTAACACCCCTTCTCCTACTTTGGACTACTCCTTCAGCAGATACATGGACCTGAGCCTCTCCTCTGACTCTGACCTGGAGTTCTTCCACAGGGACTACCCCTCTGGACCGCTGAACAGCTCCTTCAAAGACTACAGACGCTCAGACGTCTTTCAGCCCCTCCAGCTGCTCAGCTCTGTCAGTTTACCCCAGCAGGAGTCCAGCACCCAGCTGCTGGAGTCTCTGATCGGACTAACTTAATCGACCAAACACCAGATGTGGTCAGATCCTCAGCTTTTAATCTTTCTTGTAGATTACAATTTATTTTAATATAACTTCAAAGCACAAGTACCTATTTTTCCGAATGGAATATTTTTATTTGCCTGAAAATCAAAAGTAATTTTCAGGAAAAAAACACACTTGGATAATTGATGTTTTAATTGTTTTTTTTTTCTTTTTACTGATTCCTTAACCTATTCAAAAACTGTATATAAGATGTATTTTATATTTACTATGACCAAGAATATAATTCACAAGCACAAAGTTTGCATATAAACTGCGATACAGTATCACATGTAGTAAAGAGCGAGTACAGCTGCTGAAGGAAGAGTGAAGGTGCTTGCTGCTGTGATAGCGCAGGATTCCAGATCCCAGTTTCACAATCATTCTCATCAATAAATGTTCACTGGGATGATGATGTATTTGTTTATAAATCACTGATTTTGTTTTTGAAAATGGTAAAATAAGAAACACAATTATGAAGTGTTAAAATTGAAGAGTTTACATGTCAGCGACTGAATGGTCATGGCAGCGGTTCAAGTCCGGAGTCAGTAGTTTCTCATTTAATTATGATGTATGAAAGCAGTTGTGTGTCCACCATCATATGGTCACACGGAGCCCATATTTAAAGCTTTATATTTCTTTTTTCTTCTTTTACAGCAGAATTGTTTTTGTTTCCACCTTTATGGTTAGCCGCCATGGGCCGGTTACTGGTTAGCCCTTTCATTGAGATGCCAAGAGTTGCTCACATAACAGATTTCACGTTAAATGTTTTGTGTAAATACCCTCTATGCTGTGGTATTTTTGCTCCAGGCTCTCATACTGTGAAAATCTCCTGCTGGCTTCAGTCCCTGCTGGAGAGCGCTCTGGTCTTTCTGACACCAAAAACAAATCCAACTGGTGTGAGTTTTCATAATATATCAAAAGGTTGGTTAATGATCTTGAATTTCTTCAAGCAGCAAACAAATTGCAGTTAGTTGTTAATCTTCATTTTACAATGGATGCTATGTTTACAGCAGTGTCTAATAAAATCAGTTTCAGCTCTATATTAGTGGTTACTTTTGGCGTAGTTTTGTAACTATTTGTTGGATCTTAATGGATTTTGTATATGCGCCAATGTATACTGTGGAGAGATATTTAAATAATATATATATATGTATATAAAGCCAAATATAAATATTGTACTATTGTTAACAACGATTAATTGAAATAAATATATTTTGTTTTCTACTGTGGATTGCATTTATTTATGGAAATCATACAAATAAGGGACTTTTTTTCCTCTGCTGTCAGGTTATACGACTAATATATTTCATTTCATTTTATATTATAGTTACAAAATATTTATTTGGAACAAAAAAAAAAAACCTTTGGCACACTGAAACACACAATGGGGTTACTTTCTTTATTTAGAACTGTTAGAATAGAATAGAATAGAATAGAATAGAAAATCCCTTTATTGACCCACAATCGGGAAATTCTGGTGTTTACAGCAGCAAAAAGATTACATAAAAATTGGTCACACAAATGTGGACCTTAGAAAAATGTATAAGAATAACATAATATTGAAAGAGTTAAAAGTTAAACAATAAAACACTGTAATGTGAAGCGTTTTAACAATTTAAAACTGCATCTGTAGAATAAATAACCAATATATGGACATATTTACAGTAATGGATATTTGCAAATAGCAGCAACATCAGAGATGTGCAAAATGGCAGCAGCATGTTATTTAACTGACTAAGGTAGAAACTGTGCAAAAGCAGCATGAACGTAACAACTTATTGAGGTTGTTGGGAATGGTGGTGGTTATAGTCTTAGAGCTGCAGGGAAGGAGGATCTGTGATAACACTCCCTTGTGCATTTAGGGTGCAGCAGTCTGTCACTGAAGGAGCTCTCCAGTTCTGCAACAGCTACATGCATGGGGTGGGAGACATTATCCAATAGAGATGTTAATTTAGTTAGGATCCTTTTGTTTCCAACCTCCTGCACTGAGTCCAGAGAGCATCCAATCACAGAGCTGGCCTTCCTGATCAGCTTATCCAGCCTCTTTCTCTCAGCTAGAGATAAGACACTGCTCCAACTGACGGCTGCATAGAAGATGGCTGATGCCACAACAGAGTCATATAAGGTCTTTAGGAGCGCCCCTTGTACTCCAAACTACCTCAGTCTCCTCAGCAGGAAGGGTCTGCTCTGACCTTTCATATACATTATTGTCAAGGCAGAGAACATTACTCAAAATTCCACATATGAATCCCTTCTGATCACAAACCATCAGGTGTCTGCTGCAGAAGACGAAGAGTTTGTGTTTTTTTTTGGGGGGGGGGGTTCATGATACTTGAAGTATCATCAGCCTGATACAGCCTTTAATACAGAGTAGTTCTGCAGGGGCACTGGCCCCTATCGGCCCCTGTCTAGAAACACCCACATGCCAAAATCTTTATGTTCAACCTGGAGGGTGATGGACGAGAACTGCCCAGAAAGGGGAGTCCTGAAGATAAAAAAACAGACAAGAACTGACAAAAAAAGGTAATAGACTCCTATCAATCCAGATCAGATTACCTTCTAAAGATGTTAGTTAACTGAGTTATTTATAAATATATTTCTGAGATGTGTATAAGAGACAGGACAAGAACTGACAAAAAAAGGTAATAGACTCCTATCAATCCAGATCAGATTACCTTCTAAAGATGTTAGTTAACTGAGTTATTTATAAATATATTTCTGCATTTATCAATTACCAACAATGCCCCTCCTTAAAGTAGTAAAAATAATACTTTCTAATCATTGTTGATGATAAATGGAAGCTAATTTTTAAAAAATGTTTTGTTTTATTGGCGAATCTGCGCATGCGTGGTTCAGTTTTGTGCTCGACAGCAGCGATGCTCGATTGCTTTGGGCTGCTAAAAATGGTGGCGAAGTGTCAACCCTAGGAATTATCTGTCGCTCTTTTTAATAACAGTGATCATTTTGATCATTAATAGTTTAATATCAGGATGGGATTAACACAGAGCTCAGACGCCCCTGAGGGAGGGACCTACGGATACCACGTTCACGGAGTAAGACTGGCTAAGTGTTAGCTTAGCTGGAGATATGCTAACAGTTAGCTAGCTTCGGCTAATGAGCCTTTAAAAAACGATGAGGTGGCATTGTTTACCCGTCAGCCTGATGGTACAAAGTAATTGACTGAAAACATTATTAGTGCAGCCGTTTTTATAAGGAAAAAGCTGGAAATAATGTCATTTGTCCTACGATAACTTTAGCTCATAGAAAAATCAGAGAGGATAGATGTTTCCTGGACAGATATTCACTTCAGGCAGTAATGATTTAGCAACACATAGAATATGAACTTTATTTATTCTTTATTGCGTTATTATGACTATTTCGGACAATTAACTGATTTAACATGTATTTTTTAACTGGCATTATCACACCAAATTAAGCTTTTTAAAGGTATCAGACTGTAAGAGAAAGTTAGCAGTATATTAATACAATGAATCTATTGTATTATTATTTTTAAGATCTCCAGACTGTAAGAGAAAGTTAGCAGTATATTAATACAATGAATCTATTGTATTATTATTTTTAAGATCTCCATAAAAGTTGCATTTAATTTATCTTGTTTTGTTAAATTCACAAATAAATTAATGTAATAAACCAATATACTATAATAAGTAAATGTAAATCAATGCAAACAGTATATTTGTAAACTAGATATATATAATATCCCTGAAACTTTCCAGTGTATCTAGACTTTTAATGTTTCTGCTTAGTTCGGAAGGCCTTTAGTTTAAGATACATTTTCTAAAACTGTTTTGAGGCATATCCTTGGAGTTTTAATGTTTAAATTTAACTTAACTGGGCACTTTATTTGGTTTTATCATAAAATAATCTACAGTAATTTGCTGCAAGTTTGGCCCTCTCCTCCTGACAGAACTGACTGAGCAGAGATTAAGGTTAGCTCTGCCAGACTGGATGTTATCATAACCACTCTAAAACACAAACTTTGTCTTCTTTAGGACATTTTTATAAATAATTAAATGTTATTTTTAGTTTTTAATTAAGTCTTTGCCAAGCAAATAAAGCGGGGCTGGAACTAACGATTATTTTGCAATCGGTCAAATATATTTTTTTCCTGATTAATTAATTAATAATCGGATAGCCAAAGGTTCCTTAACGAAAACATTTTACAAAATCAAATCAGGTGAAACTAAAACTTTTCCACTGGAGAAGTTCTGGATATTGAATAATAATGGATGAAAAAGCTTTGTTTTATCTTAAATGCAATATTTTAATTTTTTTTTTTTGGCAATTCTGGTATAATTACTTCTCTAAGTGGCTCACTTTCAGCTAAAAGCGTATTTTAGAGTGTCTATACTCCAGTTAATGATTAATCGGTTGCTAAATTAGTTGATGATTATTTCAATAATCGATTAATCTGATTAATTAATTATTGGACTGTTCTCCCTGCTGCCTTCTGGGAAGAGGCTTCAAAACATTCAATGCAGGACCAGCAGGTTCTGCAACAGCTTTTTCCACGCTGCCATAAGACATTTGATCTCACAAAACGAGACTCTGCATCACGCTTGTAAACATCATATTTGCGCTACATGGCGAAGTTTTCAAATCCTTTTAAACAGACCTCAGCTCAATGTTTCTACTGCTGCACTTTATAAATGGAAATGTTCATTTTACAGTTGTAAGCTGTTCATTCACGGTTGAAAATCTGTATGCATCGAAAGTGAAAGAGAAAGTTTGTCTGAGTCTTAATTGTTTCAGCCCTAAACTAAAGCACATCTCAATTTGATGGTTAAATGAAAAAAGTGTTTGTTTTTTTATCACAGAAATATATCTGAATAGTCTCTGCCTGGCATGATGTTGGATATTTTATGATCAATAAGTTCAAATATTGCAAATTTCTCTGCTGTAATAAATGTGCATTACCATATTCCCAAAACTATAATTAAAGTTTAACTCATAAGTAAAGTTTATAACTTTTTTATAGTAAAATAGTGGTTTTAAATAACTTGTATAAGTGAATCCCCACACTTCCACTCAGTATAAAATTTGATGACAGTACAGAAGTTTATTAAATGTTTAGCCTCAAACAATATTGAAAGATGTAAAATGATTACGGTAG